CAAAATAGTCAACAATCATTTTAGTTGGAGTCATCAAAAATTTTATGACATTGTTTTAGTAAATTGATAGCTAGCCCTTGGCATTACTAGGGCCTACATGGCTTACGTGTCCCTAGTGAAAGAGAAGAATCCTATCATGTACCTCTAGCGCCTATTTGGTTCCATTATTTGCAAAATTAAAATTTAATTTTTCACTGTTAGTGGGTCCCACGTCTGCTTTGTAGTGGAAGGACGTCAATAATTGCAGCTACTAACGGTCGAATAATTCATTAAAATTTGAATGAGAGTTGCCATCAAAGAGGCTCCTAAAGATGTAGTACATTATGTAGAGGTGCAATTCAAGTCAATTTTTACTATTTCTATTTTCAACATCATTCACCTACAACTCGCCAAAACTGGAATAGTTAAAATTGACAAAAAATATAAAGAACTTGTTTGATCCATGTTAAATTGGAAAAATACATTTTGAAATAGTAGATTGATAGAGAATATGTGGTTAAAAATAAAGAAAAATTTTGAATTTACGTTTCATATTATTTTATTGAAAATTAGTGGTTGAAAAGAAGAGAGAAAAATATATTTTTGAAAAAATGAGAAACAAATAGGCCTTTATTTGTTAGTGCCGTTGAAGAATTTGTTTGGCTTTTGCATATATACATTAAGTTTTGTACGTTAAAAATACAACTTAATTTTCATGAATTTAACATCGATAAGCTAATAAGTGATGCTATTTGTACATTATTGTGTGCATAATGGTGCATACATACATGACATGAAAGAGAGAAATTATAATAACTCAATTTCCTTTTTCTTTCCGTCTCCGTCTCCGTCTCCTTTTTCTTTTTATTTTCTCTTTCATGTCATCTATCTATATACTATTATGTACACAATGATGTACAAATAGCATTTCTACCGCTTGATGTTAAATTGAATCAGTTGAGGCACTTAAATAGCCTAATGCATGGCATGGCAACTCAGTTCGAGTTGCACTAGGTTGGCTCACCCCTGGAGCTCGGTTCTATTGTGACCAACGCTTAGAGTTCAATCCTTCATCAACATCTTCTTGAACAACTATATTTTCAAATAAAATAAAATAAGATAATTAAAAATTAGGTGATCACATTTTGTTACCTCAAAATAAAATATCGTGACCTACAATTTAATTAAATAGATCACGATCGGATCATAGGTACATACTAATCACAAATTACAAAATGTCACAATCACGAAGACAAAATTTGTGAGTCACAATTATATATTTAATCGTAAATCATGCATTTTAATAAATTACAAATTATTTATTAATTTCAAATCACCAATTAATTGGTCACAATCAACTTCATATCACTATATCCGTACTAACACCCAAATCTTCGACACCATCTCAAATCCACAATCCCTCACCACCACAACATTCACCTCAAATTCACCACCACCACCACCACCTCCTCCTCCTCCTCCTCCTCCTCCACTTTAACTTTTCACATACCGCTAATCACCTAAGATTAGAAATGAATTTTTATTAATCGAGAAAATTATTATTATTATTATTAGTCACATGAGGAAAGCGAAAGGTTCACAACACGCCATAGGAGTGAACAGTGATTCCAGTGGACTTTAGAATGCGGATTCAATCGACCTAATTGGATTCTCCATATGAACAAGGAAAAGCGTGTGTCACGGAGCTTGATCTTCGCTTGGCTGCTGCTTATAAGCACACTTTCGAAATCTAAAATTATTTCTCAAAATTCTACATGGCGGCGAAGAATATGAAAAAGACATGGTAAATTGGGAAAGTCCAGATTCTACAAGTGCCGGATATGCACTAAGTGTAATTTTTTATTTATTTATTTTTTTTTTTTAAATGACTCTATCAGTCTAGTTTGGTTGGGGGTTAGGGTTTCATCTGATTTTTTTATAAAATTAGTAAAAGTTGAATATGCGTTGCACATTATTATTAAATACTTTATAAGTTCTGTAAAAATAATATCTAAATATGCGTGAATGTTAATTATTTTAGAATTAATACATGGGACAATGAATGTTAAATATTTATTTAATTTTCAATTAAGTAAAACTGAATATTAATTAGTATACATGGACGTGAATAATAAAATACATACTTGAACATGAAATTCTAATTAACTAATAACTAGAATAAATAACACTGAAATGCATAAATGGAGATGAATATTAATTAAATTAATATGAATGTTAATTAATTGAGAATTAATAATGAAAGCACACGTGTGGAATGAATCCGTCAAATGGATATGTGTATTGATGGTAACTAAATGGTTTGATAAGTTAAATACATATTAAAAAACGAAAAGTAGGGTGTCATTGAAAAAACTGAATTATAGAAGGGTTAAAATCGTCCAAAAAATTATATGAATTTGTCAAATGTACATGTATATTAATTGCAACTAAATAGTTAAATAAATTTAATACATATTAAAAAAACGAAATGTCAGGTATTATTGAAATAATTGAATTATCGTAGGGTTAAAATTGTCTAAAAAATGATTCTCACTTGATGCGATATTTTAATAGATTATAAATTTTGTTAATACCTTACTTTTAAAATTAAAATTTTAGGTATTGGGGTAATTTTTCGTATTGGTTGTAGTATGATAACATACTATCTATAGCAAAAAGAAGGTTGTTTTACTTTTCGATCCTATAATGATTTGTCGGTTGAACTGATGATATGCTAACCCGGAGCTTTGATCGGCTGATTGATTGGACCGAATCAGATAATTATGCTTATAATGCGAACCGAAACTATAGCCAACATTGCTTTGACTATTATATCCAAAAAGTCAACTGTATATGATGAGCCCACCTTAGCCTCATAGAATGATAAATTACCCTCAAATTGCGGGGAAACGAGAGAGTTATTCTTGAACCCCAATCTTGAGGGTTCCCACCTTCCCGTCTCTAGAGTTTTATGAGGGAGGTAAATAGCAAGATGTGCCCCAATAGGTTAGGGAATAAGAGTTGCCTATACACTGCGCCTACAAGAAGTCAAATTCCATGTTTCAGGAATCGAAGCCTCACACTACGGCTGCCAGAAAGACGTGAGATAACCTCACTCCTGTCCTTTGCACCACTAGACTATGTCCCGGGGGGCAACGAGAGAGTTATTCTTCTGCTCAAACGCTCGACTCTTAAGACTTATATTTGCTGCAACTTTCACTCTATTTGGCGTAAAATATTCAAGTAAATATTGTTTCGATGTGAAAATTAAAGATAATACGATTAAATAAAACTCCTTTTATTGAAATTCCCAGCAACGATATTCCAACATTTATACAATACTTTGATTCATTGAACGTGAACAATATTCTTTATCTCGTTTAGCCATGTATGTGTACTTCAAAGCATGAGTTGAACGTGAGAAAATTGATTCAACCTATCTTGAACCCTTTCGGCCTCTTCAGATAGC